GGCCGGCCGCGTCCCTGCGCGCGCTCCGGCCCGCCTTGCGCCGTCTAGGTCTGGGCCGCGTGTCCCGAGCCCGGGCCCTCTGAGCTGGGGGGCCACGGCGGCGCGAAGGGGTGCCGGGAGCGGGCGCCCAGGGACTACTTCTCGTTTGAAAGTTCTCAGAGGCCAAAAGTTTGAGCCGGGACTGCGGAAGGATCAGGCTCTGGTTGTCGCCGCTCTCGGGGACAATTGGCGACGAAAATTTGCATCTCAATAGCAGAGGAGGCGCGGGCGGTGTGGGGAAGGCGAGCCCGCGGGGAGCCGTGTCCCGCGGGGCGCTGGGCCTGGGGAGGTGGGGAGGAGCAGCCGAGGCCAAGGTTGGAGGATCCCGGGCCCGGGGCTGGGGACTCCGGGACCAGGCGCGACATCGGCCGCAGTGGGTGCTGGCCCTGGCCCAGTGGCTCCGCTCCCAGGAGTCCGGTGGCCGTGGCCGCGGCCCTAAGCGCCTGGGGGATTGAAGCCAGGCTCTTCTGGCGGTGACTGCCGGAGCACTTGCCCGTGAGGGATGGTGGCGCCGCAGCCGCGGCCTCTGGAAAGGGGGCTCGGGGCGCCCCGAGGGAACAACCCGGGCCAGTGCCTCGCCGGACGGCTTGCGCCCCCGCTCCCCCAGGAGGGACCCGTGTCTAGACGTTCTTTGGTCACTGTGCCTCCCCTGCCTCCGGCACCACCCGCCTAAGGAGGCCCCGGAAAGCGCGTGCGGGCAAATCCGCCGCCGGTGCCAACGCAGCCCCTCCCACGTGCTCCTTCTGGGTGATTTATTTCTCCACCGCGATGCCAGACTCGGACATCCCGTGGCAAGCCTGGTTAAGCGATGGGCGTCCAAAATGCCTGCCGCGGGGTCTGCCCAACCAAAGTTCACGGCCTCGTGTTGGGGACAGACAGCGCCCCCTTCCCATGCCAGCACCGTTGTGAGTGCAATGGCAGGAGGCGCACCACCCCAGTCCCGCGTCCTGGGGGCCCTCCCGGAGGAGTAGGAGAGGCATGCCTGAGGGGAGCCTTAAAGGCTGAGAGCAACCTAGCCTGGAAGGGGGGCGGGGGACAGGAGAAGCGGAGGGACCGCAGAACTCCTGCAGGCTGGTGGTGGAGGCAGCCCTTGCCCGGGGAGGTGGGCAGATTTCACACCTGACCCCTGGCCTGCCCTTCTTGGCACACCTGTTTCGGTGGGGCCAGTGCTCTTGGAACAGCCAGTGCAGGCAGCCTCTCCAGGCCCCGGCAGCTGCAGGGAGCTCCCGACCCGCCTTCTCCCAGAAGCTGGCCTCACTTCGCAGAGCCTGGGGTAACATCTCAGGGTCAGTGCCTGGGAGAGGAGGCGCCTGGAGGCAGCAGAGATGTTTATATAACAGCAGCCCGGCAGCCTGGAGGAGCACATTTTCCATAGAAGGAAGAGCAGGGCTGCACAGTTCACAGACCCAGGGCGTTCCCCACCCGGTGTCCCCTCTCCCAGGAAGGCCTCAGGCCCTGGAGATTCTGAGGAGCAGCCAGGCTAAGAGTCACAGTCCTGGGCTAGCAGCTCCTTTCCTACAGGGATTCAGCTTGGGGCTTGCTCCCCCCATGATCCCGTAGCACTGGGGGGCAGGTAGCACGATGCTCCCCATTTTTCAGGAGGGAAGTTGAAGCTCAGAGGTTGGGAACACTGGCTCAAGGTCAGGCCAGGTCCAGGCCTTGGCCCTCAGCCGCTGTTGGCCACTAGGGTCCCCAGAAGGCCCTGGTGGGCTGTCTGTGTACAGGACAGGGCTTGGGAAGCCCCTGCCTTCCCTGTCCCGGCGCTCAGGTATTGTTCACGATGTGGGCAGCAGGTGGACTTAGTGCAGGGAAAGGTCTGCTTGGCGCAGCTGGGATGCCAAGGCCCAGGGACTTAGAGCAGAAGGGAGGGGGCGAGGGCTCAGAGGCTGGGCTGAATGTGGGGCATCCCATGGTGGGTGCCCTGGCCTGTCCTGCATTGGGGAACCCAGCCAAACGGCTGTGGGAATGTTCCAGACCACCAAGGGGCAAGGTCCCCCCACCTTTTGAAGGTTTGAACATTTTTCTTTTCTTTTTTTTTTTTTTTTCCTTTTTGTCTTTTTTCGTGTCCGGCAACGGGATCGCAACCCTCGGTGCTGCGCCCACACCTCGCTCAGCCAGTGAGCGGGAACCGGTCTGTATGTGGGAGCCGACTGTATGTGGGATCCGAACCCTCGGCGGGAGGGCCACCGCGCTTCCAAGCGGCACACTGTAGCAGTGCGCCACCGGGCCGGCCCTGAACATTTTTCTACATGTGGTTTTAGTGGCTCTGTGTGTTGCTTCAGCCAGATGGGCTGGACTTGATACCCTATGGCCTGTGCTGGTCACCCAGGCTGTGACCAGCATGTTACCACAGCAAGGAGCCTGCGTGGCAAGCATCTGCTAGCACCTAGCTCTTCCTCCCTTAGTATGGATTCAGGCTGATCTCAGAGAGCTTCACCCTCATTCTGAGAGTGGACAGGCCCGATTCCTGGAGGGTAGACTGGGGCCCAGAGTTTGTGTCCCTGTCCCCTCCCCCATGCAGAGAACAACTTGGTCACCAGGCCCAGCTGTGCACCCTGCTACCTGTACCTGGGAGTGGGCTGGCTAGTGCTACCACAGGTGCTTGGTGTTTCCCTGGGCCAGCTTTTGCCAGGCCTCACAGGGGGAGGCCCCCTCATGCCCTGTACCCCAGTGGCCTGTGTTGGGTGAATTCCTGCTCTGTAACCTCCAGGCCTGTCTGTGCTGAAATGATCCCTGCCCCACTGGTGCCTGCATAGCTCCTCAGCTTTCATGTCCCCCAGGAAGCCACCCCAGAAACCCTTGGGCCCCCTGCTCCTGACCCTGACCACGTGGCCACGCTGAGACGCTTGTCTGCCAGTGTCCTCTGAGACGGGGCCAGTCTCTGCTGGGCTCCAGCCCTGCACACAGATTCTGTGGAAGGTTTGCTGACTGTCCCGTGAGTGACACAGGCTGAAGGGCTGTGGCGCAGGGCTGGTGGGTAAGCCTGTAGGGCCTCTTCACAAACAGCGGCCCCTGATGTGGCTGGAACTCTGCCCGGGGCCCTGTCTGATGGTCACTCCCAATGGTCACCACTCAGGAGCCTGCCCACTGCCCACTTGGCCCTGGAAGGAGGCCCAGGAAGGAGGGTTGGCATCCCAGGGGCAGGGCCTGCTGTTCCCCTCCATACAGAGGCCCAGGGAGCGTGTTGCCCGGGCAAGTCCCCAGACAGGTACCCAAGCAGGTGAGCTGTCGAGGCCCACAGGGCAGACCTGGTGTTGCCAACCCAGAGATGGGCCATGGGGTGCACAGTGCAGTTGAGGCCTTGGGTGGAGACCACCTGCCTGTCCTTTCCTGGTGGCTCAGGGCTCAGAGCCACCTGCCTGTAGCTTGGAGTCCCTGGATTGCTCTGAGCACAGACCCCAGCTGTCAGTGTAGAAAAGAGAGCAGAGGGCCCTGGGCATGTTCTCCCAAGCCCTGAGAAGGAGACCCACTCAGACCTTTCCAGGCTGCAGATCTCCTCAGCTGCCCATAGAGCCTGTACTGAGCTGGGCCTGGGGTTGGGTCACTCAGGGGGCGAAGGCCCACTTCTGCTGCTTCCTGGGAGCCCCAGAGAGCCGGCGAGGGCACTGCCTGCATGGGGACCTCGGGTTTCGTACAGGTTGGGGGTGCGTTGAGAAGCTGGCCAGACCTGCCCAATCAGGGGGGCTTCATGTAGGAGGCACATTGAGAGGGTGGGCATGGAGCAGGCTGAGCTCAGGAGCCCACACTTCCAGTCAGGGGCTGGCCAATGGGGCCGGGCCCAACAGGGAAGTTGTCACCATGCCCATCTTATGGACAGGACAGTGAGGCTCGATGCAGGGTTGCACCGGGGTCTGCCTACACACCTCCCACCCCCGTGATCCTGAACAGCTGGGCCCAGGGACCCCTGCGGAGCCTATAGCAAGGAGAGCTTCCACCCTGCCTGGCCCCTTGCCTGCCACAGCTCAGAACTTTCTCCAAAAAGAAAGGGCCCCAGGGGACGAAACTGGAGGCCCCGCCCCTCGGGCTCTGGTACAAACTCAGATCCTGGCTGAGTCACGGGAAAAGCCAGGCCAGGCTGGCTGGTCCCCCTCCCTCCGCCTCCCTCAGTCCCTCCTGCCCCCACCTTCCTTCCTTCCTTCCTCCCTCCTTCCCTTTCTTCCTTTCTGGGGGTACAAATAGTGGGAAAGCTCTTTTTAAAAAAAAAAAAAAAAAAAGCCCATTTTTATTTTTGCAGGGAAGATGTAGTCTTCCCGGAGCAGAATCCTCAGCATCAGCAGGAATCACCAGCAAAGACCCTCAAGCCCCTGCAGACCTTTTGCCGCACACCCCCATCTGTGCCCCCACCCAGTCCCACAGGTGGGACTTGGGCCACCTTGGCCTCAGCCGTCCGCCTGCAGAGCACCCAGCCTGTGGGCAGCAGTTTCTCAGGGCGGCCTGGGTTTCCTCCCATTTGCTCCAGACACATTTAAACGTATTTAGCACTTCCGTCCTGTCTCACACTCCCCCAGCCCCCAGCCCCTCTTAAAAAGAAAATGGGCTGGAAACCGGGGTTTGGGTTACAGGGAGCACGGGGAATTATGTTCATGAAGTAACACAGAGCACAGGCTTTAGCAGGTATGGCACATCTGTGAGCGATTTTCGGGTCTCCAGGGGAAAGGCAAAAAACCCCAACAGTTCTTAAATAAGACCAGAATTCTCCTATATTTTTGCCTTGACAGCTAAGGAAAAATTTTGCCAAAAACCAGAGGCGCTGCCGCGTGTTGGCGTGGGAATGTTAGCTTAGTCAGACACTTGCTCTGGGCCATTTAAATAAAAACAGGCACTTCGGTGGCAAATGCCAGTTGAACCCTCAAGTGATAGGCGCTTCTGGGACTGGGAGAGAGGTTCACAATCCCATCTCTTGTTTCTTGGCCTCTCCAGCTTCCTTATCAGGACCAGCATTTCACTGATAAACATTCAGTGCAATAATTTTCAAAAATCAGCAAGAAAAGTCTGAGTCTTTAATGTGGCTGTGACTGGGCTGCCCAGCCGAGGAGTGAGTCTCTCAGACCTCCCTGAGCCCACCTCTGAGGAATGCTCCAGACACTTGAGGGTAGACGCGGGAACCCCGGGACCACTGCCCCTGCTTGCTCACACGTGGGACCCACAACCAGGGCCTGCCTGGGGTGGCGACTGCAGGCCCATCACCCACCTACCAGGCTGGGAGGGCCTCGTGGAATGTGCTGCTTTTTCTCGCTCTGGTTCCCATCTGCCAAGGGCAGGGGCCGGGAAGGGCTGATGGGCCCAGGGCTCTTCTGGGGAGGGCAGCGTGTGTGTGGGGTGGACGGGGACGGAGGTCCCCTCTATCCCCCGCCCTCAGTGACGTTAGTCCCTTTGTGCCTGGGGTGGGGGGAGGTGGGCTGCTGCAATGACTGACATGATCCACCTCTCCCTCTCCCCAGGGGCCTGCACTCACGGGGGCTCTGTCTGTGACGTTAGTCCCTTTGTGCCTGGGGTGGGGGGAGGTGGGCTGCTGCAATGACTGACATGACCCACCTCTCCCTCTCCCCAGGGGCCTGCACTCACGGGGGCTCTGTCCTTCGTTCCCCGAGGCTGGGGGTCCTGAGTGTGGCTGTAATAACATCTGTTCCTCACTTAGCACAGCGCGTCTCGGAGTCCGTTCTAGAGAAGAAAAGTGAAGCAAAGCAGATCCGTCTGCGCCGAGACCCCCTGTGCTCCACCCCCACAGCCGGGAGCTCTGTGAGCTGGGGGTGGGAGGAGGCTGGGGAGAGGCCCGTGGTGGGCTTCGGCCCTCCAAGGCTGCTGCGAAGGGCTGGCAGGGCGCCAGCCTTTCCCAGTGGCTGAGCCTAGACCCCAGTCCCCAGCTGACCCCCACCCTGGGAACAGACTAAGAAAAGGAGACTGGTAAAGGGGAAGCAGGTGTCCAGAGGAAAGGGATGCTGGGAGGCGGGGGTTGCATGGGGCGATAACGACCGTCCTAGCTTTTGAAAAGATCCCAATGGGAGCAGGGTGGGCAGCAGGGGTGGGCCCTGGTGGGGGCAGCAAGAGTCCCCCTTGGACTCAGAGCCTATCTGCTGAGCCTGTCCCCACTGAGCGAGGCTCTGGGTGACGTGACCAAGACAGAGGCCCTCTCAGCAGACCTGGTGGAAGGAGGAAGACAGGGACCAGGCGTGTCCATGCATAAGCCAGAGCAGAAGGGGCTGTGAGGGTCATGGGGTCTGGGGACGGGTGTCAGGGCAGGTGGCTTCCCTGAGCAGTTGACACATGAGCAGAGACCCAAGAACATGAGGGGATGGGATGGGCAGGTATGTGGGGAAGAATGTTCCAGGCCTGACTGTGCAGCCCAAAGGCTTGACAACGGCCAGCACTTTCCTGTGCTGCCAGCCTGGGCCAGGCCCCGGCAGCCGCAGCCTGCGGAGTCGTCGTGCCATGGGGCGAACTCAACGCTGTGCACCGCCTTCTCTCTCCCTCACCTGTGTGCTGTACTCTACCTGCCAGGTGGGGGTCCCGGGGTTGTCACCGCTCATGGGGTTTTATGGATTGAATTATGTCCCTCCAGAGTATATGTTGGATAGGTTCTCCCACCCCAGCCCAGAACCTGTAAACGTGACCTTATTTGGAAATAGTGTCTTTGCAGCTGTGATCAAATTAAAATGAGCTCACGCTGGATTGGGGTGGGGCCTGATCCAGTGGCGGGGGTCCTCAGCAGCAGAGGGAGAGGTGGACGCAGGGAAGAAGTCTGTGGGAAGACAGGCAGAAACTGGAGCGGTGCTTCTACAAGCCACCAACGTTGAGGAGGCCAACAGCCTGCAGACGCTGGGAGAGGCAGAAAGGGTCCTCCCTGGGGCTCTCACAGGGAGCGCGGCCCTGCCCATGGCTGGGTGGTAGACTCCGGGCCTGCCGAGCTGGGAGAGCATGCATTTCCCTGGTTTGCAGCCACCCATTTATGGTAATTTGTGATGACCAGGAAACTAATACAGGGGTGAGGGCATTTTAATGTACAGCAAGGTAGTTTTTGCATAAGGCTGTCTGGGGGTGGGGGCTGAGGGCGAGCGAGGGGGTCAGCGCCCTCCCCAGGTCTGCAGGCACGTGGCCACAGCAAGTCTCTCTCCAGATGCCTTCAGGGTGCAGCCCGCTGGGCCTCCCAGCTGGCAGGGCAGGACGCTTCCCAGGCCTGGTGATCTCGGGGGCTGTTTGGGGTCTGCCTGTCTGTCCCCAGCGCCAACAGATCCTGCTTTGGGCTGTGAAGAGGGCTGATGATGAGGCATTGTGCCCTGTTGGGGTGAAAGCTCTGCTCAAATGCGCCACCACCAACACCTGAACCAGCTCTGTCCCCGAACATGGAACCCTGAGGGGGCCGACTCTGTGACTGAGGCGGCCCAGCAAACGCATGGAAAGACATGACGGCCAGGCCGTGGCTTGGGCCGCTGGTTGAGTCCAGCTTTCCTACTCCAAGCCCATTGGCTCGTCCTCTCCACGGAAAAGACCAAGCCTCCAGAAGGGTCATTTTGGGCTGCAAACATCCCGAGCTGGCATTATACATGGAGATGACAGAGGGGAGACCCCAGTTTCCTGTGACTTGGGTAAACATGAGAATAGCCCCTTTTCCTGGCTCGCCTGAGACTGCAGCTCCTTCTGGAGAGATGGGCTGCATTTGGAGAACAGGTGGTGGTGGTGGGGGGGTGCCGAGCCCCTCTGAGGGCCACGCTGCTTTCCCAATACAACGAGGGAAAACATGTGCTTTCTTGAATCTCCGTGAACTAAACTCCTCGGAAGCCCAGCCTGGGCTATGCCCAGCATCCCTAAGGGGCTGACCCCTGGACCCCACCTTCTCAATTTAATTTATAATGACAATAAACTCAATGCGTTGCCTTATTTTTATTAGAGATGAAGTCAGGAGCTTGATCCTGAGCTTAGACATTAGACACAAAACAACCCAGTGAATCACCATTAAAGTTAACTTGAACAGCCGGCCCATGGCTCACTCAGGAGAGTGCGGTGATGATAACACCAAGGCCACGGGTTCGGATCCTATATAGGGATGGCCGGTTAGCTCACTGGGTGAGCGTGGTGCTGACAACACCAAGTCAAGGGTTGAGATCCCCTTACTGGTCATCTTAAAAAAAAAAAAAAAAAGTTAACTTGAACTTGGAAGGGTGAGGGGCTGGGTCACCAGAAACATACCTCAGACCTCTGCCACCACTGTGTGAGTGCCACCCTGAGTGTTGAGATCCCAGGCACATGGCCCAGACAGTCACTGGGCCCCGCCAAGGACGAAGGACGTGCTATAGAGCTGACACCTCATTCGCAGGCAGAGGATGGTGAGCTGCTGGTAGCCAGGGCCACGATCACATTCTGCAGAGCCTCCCTGGTGGGTGAGCCGGCACACAGCGTGTCTGCCAAGACTCAGCAGGTGGTCCTACCGAGCAGGTGGGACTCCCCAAGGCAGATGGGAAACAAGGAAAACACGGGGAGTCCCCTAGAGGTGTCTGGCCGAGGCCCTGGTGGTGGCTTATCTTCTCATATGGGAGGTGGCCTCTGTATTCCTGACCACAGGGAGGTGGCAGGGACTCCCCAAGGCAGATGGGAAACAAGGAAAACACGGGGAGTCCCCTAGAGGTGTCTGGCTGAGGCCCTGGTGGTGGCTTATCTTCTCATATGGGAGGTGGCCTCTGTATTCCTGACCACAGGGAGGTGGCGCCCTGGCATGGTCCAGTTGAGGGAACTGGGAAAGAGATCCTAATAGGGCTGCCAGGAGGGAAACCCACAGGTATTAGGACTTAGCGATGGCAGGATTGTGTTTCTGGGCTCTTCCTGCCCCATGACCCATGGCCACCTGGCAGCGGGACCCCCAAAAGCCTGAGGGTCAGGCCTGAGGTGTGGCTGAAATTTTTCAAAATAAAAAATCTGTTAATGTCGAGAAGACATTCTTTCACTGGGTGGAGGGGGAGGAGCCCTGGTGCCCATCCCCCAGCAGGCACCTCTTCCCCTCCCACCGCCGCGCACTAGGCACAGTCCCAATCCAGCCCGGGGAGAGACAGATGGACCTAGCCTGTGTCTTTGAGATGCTCCCAGAAGAAGGGGGCCCTGTGAGATTCGGGGGTCCAGCCCCACTGAGCAGGAGGCCCCAGCACCCTGGACCCCTGAGCCCAGGAGATGGCTTCCCACGACTGACCCTTCCCAAAGGGTGGACCCGTTCCCGTGGGGACCCTCTCTGCTCAGATGCTTGAAGTGGCAGGAAGGCCGGCCGTCCTGAGAACCCGCAGGCTGAGGGGCAGGCGGCGGCCAGAAGGGATGGGGTGCAAGAGGACCACGTGGGGACACAGCCTTCTCACGGGGCGCCGCCCTCTGGTCACAGCAAGTCAGCGGCGTCCTCTGCGCTTCCCAAGTGGGGAAACCGAGGCAGAAAACCCCAGGGCTGGGGCCATGCTTGCAGCGAGCAGGTAGGGGGATGTTTTTTTTCAGTTCCAGGCCAGTTTAGAAAAAACAAGCATGTTTGAGTTTAGTGGGTACATTTTTCTTACGTGGGTAAAAATGGCTTTTCCCCGAAAATTCAAACAAAACAGATGGGTACAGAGAAGGCTGCGCTGGCTGCAGTCCCACGCAGAGAGGCTCGCTCCGGAGCAAACAGGGGCAGCCGCTCACTCCTCCGCTGCGCAGAGCCCGCCGCGTGCGGGGGCGCTCCATCCTCGCCCTGGCTCCTGGCTCTCTCCTTGGGAGCCTTCCCTGAGCACCCCGACCCCAGGCGGCTGAGCCCCTCGCCATGGCTCAGTCACAGCCTATTTCCTAACTCTTCCTTCAGTGCCCTTCACCACTGGGTCGGGACTCAGCGAGGACAGGGGTTGGGTGGTCCAGCTTGCCTGGTGCCGTGTAGACGCTCCACTCATGGACGGAGGGACAGGCCTAAGAGGGGCCCATCTGAGGAGGCACGGGCAGCTCCCAATCTTCCCCCTGTGATTCTCTCTCTGGCGTCCTCTCTGTGGTCACCCCCTCCAGCAACAGGGAGCTCACCCCCGCAGCCCAGTGTCCTTGGCATCCCAAGGACAGGAAGACCCTGGGTTCTGGGCAGGCCACACATTGGTCTGATGGAACCAAAGGGAACAGGAAATTAAACCAAGATGAGCTGTGTTCCAAAAGTCACTTGAGTCTCTCGGGACATCCTTTGACCCAGCTGTGGGGGAGGCCCCTGTGGCCTGGTGGTGGCCGTGGTCTGTCGCCATGACCAGGATGGGGGGGAACGTGCTGGAGAGCAGTGTTATTTTCTTTGGACAGTGTCTGGAGCTTGCCTGAGACACATGGCTCCTATGGCAGAGTGAACTGGAAGGGGGCAGAGGGCACCCCATGACCTGCAGCCCCTGTGCCCTTCCCTGGAACTCAGGACCTCTACTCTGGCTTCTCCTGGGCAGCCTAGCATCCCGGGGGCAGAGGAGGGGTGCCCCTCTGTACTGTAGCCCTCCTCAGAGGTGTCCACACAAACATTCCTTACGGGTTTGCATTATGTTGAGTGTGTATATTCACATTAAAAAATTGAGTTTATATTTGTGTTAGAGTAAAAATATTATTTGCTTCCAAGATCTAGCTCTAGAATAATTGTGCTGTTTTGTCCCATGGATCTGGGTCCTCCTGGTGTCTGACAAGTGCCCCAGTTTGGTAATCTTCACCTCAAATTTCAACTTCCAGACAGGAGGGGGCACTGGAGCAGGCAGGCCTTGGACTGGAGTCGGGACGCACTTCACGCCCTGCGGAGTTTCCAGAATCTCTCCTGAAGACCCCGCAGGAGTTTGAACCCAAGGCTTAGGAACTAGGACCCCCGATCCACATATCCTCTTGGCCACAGTCTGGCAAACTGAGTGACCTTGGGCAGGTGACTTCCGTGCTCTGTGCCTAAGGCTCCCCGTCTGCAGAATGGAGCCACTTCCAGCACCTTTTGCTGGTGAAACAGGTTGGGTGGACACCTGGTGCTTGCCCTGGGGCCTGGCTCATGCTCAGCACTTTCAGTGGACAACTGTAGTTTGGGGACCCATTGTTCCCCAGGGGTTGCTGAGCTGGGGTGCATGAGCCATCCTTGCTGTACCTTGGGAAAGGCGTGGACACCTGGTGCTTGCCCTGGGGCCTGGCTCATGCTCAGCACTTTCAGTGGACAACTGTGGTTTGGGGACCCATTGTTCCCCAGGGGTTGCTGAGCTGGGGTGCATGAGCCATCCTTGCTGTACCTTGGGAAAGGCTTGCCTGGGAGAGAGCCCACACCAAGGTCAGGGAGCCCAGAGACAGACATAAAGTCCAGACAGCATGGCTGGAGTCCCTGGATCCAGTCGCACCTGAGGCTGTTCTTAACAATCCCATTTGTTCTGCCGGAGCTTTACTGCTTACAAGGCAACTGAGTGTCCATCTTCTTCTGTTGCCCTGCAGCGGCCCTTCTGGGGGCAAGACT